CCCAACCAACACTCTCCTGCCTGCTTCCCACGCCTGGAGCAGCTGGCAGCCCCAGATAAGCCTTCATAAAGTGCCTCGTCTCTAAACCAGAACCCAGTTTGGAAATTAAAAAACAAACCTTTACTTAGTGTTGGTTTTGATCCCTCTACTTAAAAAGTTATTTGAAGGGTAACATGAGATGTTCTGGAAAGCACTGAAATGGCACTGATGGAGTGGATTGGTCCATATGCTTCTGTTTATCCTGGTTATAAATTATCTTCTCATGATGTTGAAAGCCATGTTGAAATTAGGTCATTGTAAAAGAATTTATTAAAAGGTATTGAAAATGCAGGGCCATGGAGTAAGTAAATGATTCTTTGACTGAGAGATTTAGAGTGGATTTATCTAATTCTGGTAACAGGTCTTTGTGACCATGTGCTCACACAGGTGCTTCTGTCCCCCTCTCTCGGCCAGGCCTGCTCCAGGGAAGGTTGGTTACATGACACCCTTTGCAACCATCTGAGAGAAGAGAAACTAGAATCCTGTCCTGGGCTGAGGAAGCACAAAGTTCTTCACCTCATGCTCATTTCTCAAGGTGAATATTCCTCAGGAAGTCTCTGTGCCATTGATTCTACAGACCCAGACGGGCAGCAGCGACTGTGTGACTCAGCCCCGGGTTCCAACGGGCACCGACCCTGGTGTTCACAATGTTGTTCAGTCTTCACTTTGGTAAACACCCAGAAGGGTGCCGGTGCCAGCACCTCTGCTCCTGATTCTAGCATTCCACACGTGAAGTCTTCATCAAGTCCCTCCCCCCCATGAAGACCACGCGAGCCCCTCCCGGTAAGACTCACATGTCAGTTTCATACTTCAAGTTCTCTCTTTCTAATTTCCATCTTCCAGATGTTAAAAAAAAAGTATTTTTTTCCCAACTTGTTGAGCCAGAAATGGGTGCCCTGAGGAAAAGCAATTCAAGAGCAGATTTGAGGGGGGCCAGACACCTTATTCACTCATCGAGCCACCTGGGCCACCCCACGTCCTCCTCGTTCTGCTGGAAACCTTCACTTCCTCCTTGTGAGTTTCCACAATATTTATTTCATGGGGTTACTTTTTTATGGTGATAAAATATTATCCCACGATTGAAAGCCTGAGCTCCAATTATGAAAATTGCCAAGGGGACCATCAAAAGGAGAACATTGTGCTCTCGCCTTTCCGTGAAAATGTCAGGCACCTGTGTCACTCTCCAACCTCGCAGGCGCATGCGAGCACGCAACAGGCACAGGGTGGGGGCGGGCGGGCGCCCCGGACACCGGGACGAGCCACCGAGGGCAGGCACGGCCGCGCCACGCAAGCACACGCAGACACGAACGGCTCCCCCTTGTAGATGCGCGGGCCCCTCCCCGGCCTGTTTCTCTGCCCTTTCTTTATCTCCAATTATAAAGCAGCGCCAGGTTTTCTTGTCAGCCATTGCCATGTCTCCAAATGGCTTTTCAGTGTCAGGCCTATCAGGAAATTAACTCATCATGCAGTGACAGCTGCTAATTTTTCCCCTTACATGTCAGATGGATCGCCCGCTGAAGCTAACAATGAATCACCAGTCCCTGATTAGAAGGTGCTTCCGAAACACATAACTGCCATCTGAGCTAACTTTCTTCTTCATGTAAAATGATATCACCCTGGAGGAGCAGAAAACGAATTGTATTCTTCAACAAGATGGAGCGGGAGGAGGTTGCTTAAGTGAGCTGTGTGCTCTCTGAAATTATGGACTAATATTAAACAGTAAAATAAGGAAAAACTTACAGCTCTTTTTTTAGTTTGCTTCATGAATGACTTTCTTGTTCCCTAATTCTCTTTCTAGAACCACTTCTGGGTCAGGAGGCTAAGCTGGTTCTTCAATTGTTTCCTATTGCCATTATTTTATCTTTATGTTCAGGAAAACAGAAGGTTTGATAGAATTGAGAAATAGAAACGTCGGCCATTGGTCAAAGAATTTCCTAGACGCTGTGCTACTGGGCAGTGGGGCTCTTAATTGGAGGGAGTGGTGGGTTGGAGCTGTGGAGTTTGGCATGAGCGTGGCCAGGCCTGGGCCTCAAGGGGGTTTCCACGGTGATCTATTGGGTGACTGAACAAAGGTCCACTGAGGCTGCTTACCATCTGTCTTCTAGGACTTTGAGGCCACATTTCTGGATTGAGCTGATAAATGACAGTGGTACTTTCAGTGCCACACTGACACAATCTTAGCACATTGACTTGGTTCTTCAGAGCAAACCAAGTAGCCAAAGGATGTTCTCTGTATCTGTCCGACGATGCAGGTGTGTTTGTTGTGTGTTTTGTGGTATGGTGGGAGATGTTTGGGAGTATCCTCTCTCCCTCTGTTCCAAGTGTTCAGTGAGGCCCGAAGTATCCCAGAAGGATGCCTGCTTGAGTCATGGCGTTTCATTCAAGTGACCTTACATGGCTAAAACCTCCTTTGTGTGGAAACTGCTCTCCAACTCTCCACCATACCTGGTGAGCATTGCCCAACTTCTGCCATGGAAGTGGAAATGTAAACCATTTCTATACGTTGATGTGGGCAGTCCGGGCCTCCTCGCATGCCATACATCCTTGAGGCTCAGTCACTGAATTGGCTGTAGCTTAATACAGAGGTAGCCTTTCTGGATTACATTCTCAAGTGAATATCTCATTTGCTTTGTTTTTTGCTTCTTTACAATTCTATTGCATTCTCTAGCAAAAACCTCCAGGAAAGCTGTGAGCTTGCTCCCCTCTTCTGTATAGACAATCCACGCTCCAATAAATGTGCCCTGCTCACAACCCAGCCACGCCTCATTATTCTGAGGACACGTTTGCATAGGTGCCTCTTCAGCTCCCTTACATCCCAATAGTTGTGTAATGAGAGAGAAAAGAGAGGTAACATTAACCCAGCTCCATAGGTAATTACGGGATACAATAGCTTAGTGAATCCTTTGCAATCCTTCTGAGCCTCGAAACACCTTCTGTACAATTTTTTTATGCAAAGGCCTGCTCTTTTCATTGTGCATACAACGTGATTGCTGGTTTGACACTGCAGGCTACACTGGTTTTATGAAGGATTAAATGCCACCTGAGACATATTTATCCTAAATAAATCACAAACGGTAAACTGCAGCATGTCAGTGTCAACAGCCTGGGCTGCGGCAGAAAGGTTAGCTGTACAGGACTAAGTACAGCCAGGAATTAGCATCTGAGCCGAGGACCGCGGGCTACACCTAACGGGAGGAATGATCAGGAAGAAATATTTCCACTGAAAAATATCCCCCCCATGTTTTTTTTTTAACATGTATGAGAAGCTTGGAGAGGGCATCACTTTGTAAAGGTCACCTTTATCCTAATAACACACGGGAGTTGATCCTGTCACTGTTTGCTGAAGACAGTGTTTAAGAAGCACTGAATTGCTCTGCCATTTTTAAGAAACATGAGCAAGTCATACTCAGCTAATTACGAATCGCAGTGTCAAACCTGAGATTCTTTTATCTTTTTTGGAGGGGTACCTGTATCAAGGGAGGTGGCCCTGGGACGGCTGGGACTCAGCACTGAGGACGAGGTGAGGGGAAGGGCAGCTGGCTCAGCTCCTCAGTGAGGCTCATCTCCACGCTGTCCTCTCAGGAAGGGGTTTAAACGGTACTTTTATTTAAACCCAAAAGGTACCATTTTCTCTCATGTCTGTTCTTCACAATTTTTTAATACTAACCATGATGGAATGTGTTACTGTCACCAGAATCTGCCTGGGCCATGTGCCAAACATTCAGGAGGTAGCACCAGGCTGCCAATGTCCGTCAGAAACCAGGACACGCACTCACGTGGGCAGAGAGGGAGAGCCCCGGTCGGCAGGAGCACTAGTTCTCTTGTTTCCACAGCGGCCCATTGGTTGGCTGCTAGAAATACAATGTCATCAGAATCTTTTAATGTTATAATTTTATTTCAAAGAAAAAAGAAACAGAACAAAAACAACCTTTGCATTTGGGGGAGGGATTATTTTACAGTTTTGGAGAGGGAAGAAGAGCAATCGCATCAGAAGTGAGTGGCTGGGACGTGACCTCGCACTCCACAGCTGCAGGAGCCACAGCAAGACACTCGACGCTGGGCAGTGCCAGGGCTGTGGGGGCTGCTCCGTGATTAACGCTTAATGTCAGCTCCCTCACACCGACAGAAATCACAAATAAATCCTGCAAAACGATACCAATACCAGCAAATATTTGTTATAAAAGCAAAATATTGATAGGAACAATATTTTCCAGAGTGCACATTTTATATATAGACTTTATTGTATGAAACTAAGTCAAAATTAGAAGCATCAGGTCGTCTTAACCAAGGGATATTGTAATTGAATATAAACGTCAAGGCTTTTCTTAACCATGGGCTGCAGGAGGCGTCTTTTAAGCAGAATGCAACCAGAGCAGTGGATACGCCTACAATCGCCTCAGTGGGGAAAGTGACACAGGAAATGAACTCACAGGCTTCCTTTGGTCTGGGGACACTGTGATCCTAAAATTTCAAAAAAATGAACAGGAGGGGACTGCTTCAAGACAGAAATACTTGTAGCTGCAATTTTTAACCAAATATATAATAAAATGTTGAAACCGCGACATGCTGGATTGCAAGAGCAGACATGTCTCAAGCCACAAGACACACTGTTCTTACTTTCCCCGACTAGGACACAGCCCTTGGATAACTGAAATGGGAAAACGTTTGTCGGGGGAAAAACCCAGGAAAAAGCTTAGTTTCTCCGCAGCACAGTGGACAGAATGGAGGGAAAGGCGGTTAACAGAAGCACCGAACAGTGAACAGATCTGGCCTGCACAGGGCCCCGCCTCCGTCCGCGGCGCCTGGCCTGCGGCTGGCTGCCCCTTCGTGGCTGCACTCAGCATGCAGTTGCCTCGGCTGGCACAGCCACGGCGCCTCGCGTGCCCTTTCTAGCAGTCGACGTTAGCCTCACCCAGAGGGCGTGTTGGGCCGGAGCACCGTCCTGGTCGTTTGGAAGGCTTTGCCAATGAAGTTCAGGAAACACTGTGCCCACGTGAGCTGGATCTTCCCACATCTGCCCTGTGCTGAGCGTAAAGATCCATGCTTTAGGCTTCTTGGAGTTCGTTACCCTCTCTTTGGCTCTGAATTACTGTTGCCGCTGGGGAGCCCTCCTGGGTGTAAATGACCATACTTGTCAACTGCTCGGTTCCATTCGGGACCATGGCCTCCGCGCTGAGTGCAGCCCCGGCCTGCAGGATCTCCTGCGAGTCTGACGTCTCTATCACAGTGTGGGAGTACATAGCCGTCTCATCTTGCACCCCCGGGGGCAGTTCTGTCACAATATAATGAGTCGCACCCTCAGGAAAGCTGCCGCTAGACTCCTGGACCATGGCTTGGACTAGCTCCTCAGTCACGATGATCTGCGAAATCTCCCCGTCCGACTCGGCCAGATCCACGTGCGGGCCGTGGGCCTCCGCCTCCTGCATGATGATCTGAGAGCCTTCTCTGGCCAGCATGTGGACGGTCCCCTCTTCATTCACAATGACCTGGGTGACGCCTTCCTTCATGAGCTGGCCGGCTGCAGCCGAGTCACAGACAGCGAACTGGAGTACCCCCTGGACCACCTTCTTGAAGGCCACCTGAGCGTGCTCCTGCGAGGCAACGACGGCTGAGGGACGAACCACCTCGGTCAGCACCTCCATGGGCCCCATGGCGGCGGGGGCCTCCTGAACGTCTTGGAACATATGGATCTCGGGGGCCTCAGGCTGGGCAGCAGCGTGGGGCACCTCCTGACTGGGCAGCTGGACCAGCACGTCCTTGTGGCCAGATCTGCCTTTCTCTTCGGGCCCAGCCCTGCCTTCCGCCCCTCCCAACTCGGTGACCGCACACAGCAGTGCGTCCAGGGCGGAGGCCGCATCGGGCGGGGGGACGCTGGCCTCGGCGAGATCTAAAATCTCCTGCTTGGTCACCTGCTGTATCATGGCACCACCTGGGCTCAGGGGTTCGTCCACGCCGTGGCCTTCCATCGAGCCCCCCACGACCACCACCTGGGTGGCTCCGTCCGCCAACTGTTCTGGCAGAACCGGCCCGGGCACCACGCTGCCCACGTGTGCCCCGCTCTGACTCGCGGTGATGACCTGCCCGTCTTCCGTGATGTGCACCACCCGGGCCACCTGGCCCGCCAGCGCCAGCGTCTGCAGTGTGGCCGCAGCGGTCTCCTCCACCGAGGCGTCGAGGGCAAACTCCCCATCGTAGCCCTGGATGATGATGACCTGCTGCACCTGCTCGGGCGCCGCCTGCCTTCTGCTGCTCCTCAGGGGCCTCTCTCTGACGGGAGACTCCTCTGCCAGCGCGGCCGCGGTGAAGGGGCTGTCCGTCTCCACGAAGGTGGCTCCTTGGCCCTTCAGACGGCATTCATAGGACTTGGAAACAATGCCTATGGGAGACAGGGACCAGTTAGAGCCTAGAAAAATGACTTGTAGGCTTAAAAGTAAGACAGTGTTTCTGTAGAAGCTTTAAAACCTCAACAGAAACATTACTGCGAACCACTACTCAAGAGATGAAGCGCCCCCGGCCTCGGGGCTTCCAGGCTGCCGTTCACTGGCCTGACAGGTGTGCTACCGGCTCAAGAGCGGGTAAAGCTGTGGTGCTAACAGCCAGGCTCCTGTTTGTCCCTATACAACTCTGTCAGCCACTGTCTGCTTTTCTAGCTCCCTGGGAGGAATATGGTTAACTCCCTTCAATTACTGTCATTTCTAACAATTTTCTAACTATTCAGCCATTGGTGGTAAGTGAAGATCAGTCAACAGTTAGTAGCAGCATCTTCTAACCCAAAGGAAAATCTTTTTTTAATGTCCAAATATTAGATACAGTAGATTTGTTTATTCAGCAAAGAGAATGAAAGCCTTGCACATTAAATTTAAAACTATGCCGTCGATAAGCAGAGCTACAAGAGTTTATTTCAAGTATTTATTGAGCATCTACTACGTGTCGGGCACTAAACTGAGGTGAAAAGGCAGCCTGCCTGCCAGGCGTGGTCCACCGTGGGTCACTGTGTGCCAGGCCCTGGGGACAGAGCACGGACGCAGAGTCTCGGCCACACGGGGACTCTGGAGGGAAGCATAATAGGGCAGAGCTGGGGGGCAGCTCTGAGAGCGCACGGTCTTATTCCGCATTGTGGATCTTACGTAAATCAAACGCCTAGCAAGCAGCAAACAGTCAATAAAGATGTGTTTGTTGAATGACTTAAAGATTACATAAGGTGACAAGGACTACAGCAGAGAGGTAAACACGTTCAAGCTGCAGGAAAGAATATTCAGGAAAGATGAATCAAAGAAACAACATTCCCAGGTGCCCTGAGGGACAGGACTATCCAACCACTCCCTGGGCTGGGAGGGGAAGGGCCTGAAGGCCGCAGCAGCAGAGGCCCAGCAGAGGCGGAGGAACCTGGGGAACCCCAGCACCTGGGGTGCCAGGGCTTGGGCTTTCAGGGGATCAGAGAGCCCCACTCAGACCAGGCTCTGCGTGCCTCCTTCACCGGCACTAAGGTGTGTGGACTAGTCTGCGGAGAGAAGCACTCTGTTGTGTTTTTAAGCAGGAAAGTAAAAGAATGCATCTGTTTTAGACTGTAACAGTGGCACAACATTTATTTTTGTAAATCCTAGCCCCGAACTCCTCTTAGTGAAAACACAGTGACTGTTTTAGAAAATACTGAGATAAGCCCTGGGGACACGGGCACATGAAAAATAGAGAGGAAACAGCTGGGCACAGGAGGAGGAGCAGGGACAGGAGTGGGGAGAATAGTGTCAGGACGCGGGGAGGGTGGGGCCCTGGGACAGAAGAGCGACTGCAGGCTGCTGGCCTTGCTGTCCACTCACCGGCCCGAGTCCCACCTGAAGGCATCGGCCTTCATGATCTGCGGTCTGTACTCTGGACGCCGGCCCAGGAGGGCAGAGGAATCCCTAAAGGCCCGCGGCTGCCACAGGACTAAGAGCTTCAAGCCAATCTTCCGCAGGTCAGCGGCTGGGGACTTGCGCTGTCCTCCCAGCTCCAGAGAGAAGGCTCTGAAGGCAGAATCGAAGGTGGGAGGGGAAGGAGGCCGGAGTGAGAGCAGGGGGCGGCTGCCAGGTAAGGCAGGAGGCGAGGCTGGGCCTGGCGAGGGGGCAGAGGGCAGGCGCACACCCGTCCTGTCCTCCCCAGTGTCATCTGCCACACAGGCCAAGGCTTGTTTAATAACTTGACAGGGTAAAATATGACCGAAAATTGTAATCTTTGTTTTCATAAAAAGAGACTGACTCTTTGTTAAAAGAGTTCCTATTTTCTTCTTTAGATCCCAAATTTTCCATCAGTTTTCTTATTATTGCCTCCTTCCCTCCTAAGTAAGAGAATGATCTATATATAATCTATAGCGAGTATTTCCATATTTCAGTGGCAACCACATTTTTGAAATATTTCACTTTACTCTCTTTAGCGTAGGTCATATTTTAAAAAGCGTACTTTATCCTTACCAAAGGAAAGAAAAGGATTAAGAATTGCTAGATTATTTATGGTTAGCATCCCTTAAAAATAAGACAACAGTTTTGCTTACCATGTTGGTGCCATCCTATAAGAAAGCATTTCCCTCAAAAGTGAGTCTGCTCTAAGCACACACCCCAGTCAGGGTCCTCCTCCTGTGGGGACAGTATCTCCGGCAGGACCCACAGAAGCTATGAGATCATATCTACCAAGAGGACATGTCCAGACTCACACCCAATGGTCCTGGGTTTGAACCACACATTCAGTTATACAAAGGCAAACTCCTGGCCTGTTCCACACATGCTGCTCTGAAGTCCTGACATCCCGCATCCACTGTTCAACAGTCTGAGTCCACAGGGTGTCAGACCACTGCGTCCTCCTTAACTCTTGAGGATGAGGTGCCTCCCGCCTGGAAAGGGTAAGGGAGCAGAAGAGTCTCGGGGGGCACTTGCTGGCGTGTGTGCTGAACTAATCGGAGCTGAGCTCACCACAGAGTGAGTCTGCAGGATCGATGTTCTGTACACCACGTTCCTTCAGCCTCCCAGGCTCTGATTCCCAGTGAGGACGCAAAATGTATAAGTAAGCAATTTTTTTAAACAAAGATTAGGACCAATTAACATTTATTATTTCTCAGAGAACTCTCTCTACAATGAATCTTAAAAGATTATGGAATCATAAACTCTTAGGTCAAGACAAGACCAGTGGGGTCAACAGGACGATCTCCAGCAGCAGAACCTTCTGTTTATACATTCAGTGACTACTGAACACTAGGACCAGAGGACACTGCTCGGAGCTGGGAGGACAGCGGTGGGTGACCCATGCCAGCCATGCCCTCACCAACCAGGCAGAAGTAAACCATCACATCTTAAAGGTCAATTAAACCTTCTCACAGGAGGGTCCAAAATGTCGATGACTCTGGCTAAAGGAATTACCTAACTATAACGTACTGTCTCTTCTCCTGCTTACCCTCCTAGCCAAGTGCAGAACAACTGGGGACCACTAACGCAGGCTCCCAGCCGGCTCCTTTTAGGCTTCCATTAGCAAGTGCTCGCTGAACACCTACGGTGGGATGCTTGGTGGGAGATGTCACAGGACAGCTGTGCAACTGCTACCCCAGGGGCTCTGCAGACTTCCCAAAGCTTATGTGAGCATATGGAGAGTTTTATGGGAATTAATCCAGTGCGTTCAAACTGACCTGCCCAGGGATGTGCGGGCTGAAGAGATCTCCTTCCCTCCCTCCCTCTTCCCCCTTCTCCTGCTTTACAAAAGAAAAACACATCCTCAGGAGGATTAAAGTTCAGAAAGTGAGCATGAGATTAAGTTAAACCACACGGATCCTAGAAAGAAAGGGCCGAATCACTGTCTCTATGCTTTAACCTAATCTCATGGTTTCTTCTGAACTTTAACCCGCCCTGAATTCTCTCTGTTCAAAGAGGTCAAAGTGGGCTCAGAATAGGAGCAGAAGGCCTGATCAGGGTGAGCACTCCACAGACTCTGACGTTCACATCTCCATGTACGCCTGAATGTAAGCTGGGCGGGTGTTGCCATCCCTGGTCAATTTGCCATCCACTAGGACCCCTAGATCTTTGTCTGCTTTGCCAAGGTCTTCCTCTGGTACGCTTACAATCTCTCCCCTCCCTCTTGTTTTCTACCTAGTTTGTAACATTCTCCTCGCCTCCATTGTGCTCTGAACTGGATCCAGTTTGTTTCTGTCCATTCTTCTTCATTACACCCTGAACTTGATTTGTTTCGGTCCATTCTCTAATTTCAAGGTCATTTTCAGTTTAATTTAGAGTCTGGAGAAAAAAATATGGACACATAAATAAAGAAGAAAGCCTTCAAATCATCCCTTCCTCCTCAGTTAATTACAGAAGAGGACATACTGCCTTTACATTAAAAAACAGGAGAAACCACCATGGTTGGGAAGGAACAAAAATCCTGTTTTTCGCTAGACTCTGAAAGAAACACTACACGCTCAGAGTCCAAGCAGTTCCCTGCTTTCGTCTGCGACTGGACGGAGAATCTCCCGGGCGTAGGATTACCCTCTGAATCCCTTGCAGCACTGATAATTATGCTATTCTGAACTACTTACTGAGTTTATTTGAATCCGGAGGTGGGTTAAGCCACTTCCAGATCATTAAAGTAAACTACATGGGTAAATAGTGCTGTCACGACGCAGTGTGATGAAGCTTAACACCACCAACATCTTACCCTCCGCTCAGCGCAAGCCCAGCGATTGCCTCACAGTTCATAAATGTGAGTGCAGGTCCATCTTTTGATTCAGCAATTTAATAACTTCGAGTGCTGTCAGTACTGCTTTGAAAAATAGCACCTATAAAATGTAACAGCCTCAATCAGATTGAAAAAGACTCACTCACTGAAGATTCTTCCATTTCGACCATAATGAATTAATGTTGAGCTATGCAGAAGTTCAAGTGTCATTTAAACTAATGTGAATCTCTTCTGTAACTTTAAATTCTAACTGGGCTATGACCAAGAATTTACTGGGCAAATCAACTTCAATTTTGACATCTTCCTAGTAAATATGAACTGTAAAGCTCACCAATGCAAATGGCAAATGGCTATAGGATTTGGAAAACAGGAACTTCGTACAGGTCTTACCCTTAACTGCTTAGTCACTGTTACAGCTCCAAAATCGCACACATCGCTAATGGAGCCTGGGTGCCCAACGGAATATTTGTATTACACTTTACATTTTTCAAAGACAATGTTGGATTTCAGTACAATAATAGCAGCTAATCAAAGAGCGTGTCTAAATCAGTCTTTTTGGATCTGTTTCCAATAGGACAATAAGTAGCTTTGCATAGAAGATGAAAATGAAGTTAAAATGCATCCCAGCCTGTTTACGAAATCCCAGCTCACTGCTCATTTGCTTTCCTGAGTACAGAGATATATTCCCTT